TAATAACCTCCCATCTTTAAAAACTCTAATTAAGACAATAATAGTGAATGCTACCACACGGGGATATTAGAAATAGAATTTCAGAGGTACTACAATTACACTAAATTTTCTGTATGACTGTGATACAAAATACTGTTGTTAACTTCAAGGAAGAGGACAAGATGAGGGAGTAGAAGGGTACTTTTTAATCTTTAAGTTAAAAAAATACAATATAATCTGAGTCAGTTGTAAAAGCACAAATAGAATGAGCATAAATTCATTTTGCTCCAAAATCACTGTCATTTTTCTATGATATTCATCTCATTCTGTCTTCAATAACAACATATTCCTGCTTTTTACTGGATAATTAGACAATGATGGAAACCAAACTTCATGAAACTATGTAGTTTATATAACACCAAAAACTTTATCTTACACATAGCTGGCAGGCCATAATTTACCATCACTTTAAATAAAAATTGCTATTGTCACCATTTTAAAGTATATGTTTATTGTTAAACTAAAAAAATTTTCATGATTCTGTATTTGAGTGCATGTTTATTTCTACATATACTCCGTTAATGACATTATCTAAAATTTGGCCCTTTCAAACATTACATTTACCGTTATTAATTCATTGAAAAAAAAAAGAATTAATGACTACATTTTATGTTCTAGGCCCTAACTAATCTAGGCAATAATTTCAAGGATTAGTTAGTGACAGTGCCTGAACTTGATAAAATTGTTTCTAAATACACATGATTCATAATATTTTAATGTGAAATCTTTATTGATTACATTCAATAAAACAAATTTAATCTCTAGTCAGTAGCAGTATTCTCAAAGGTCACAAATTAAAGCCCAATTTATGCAACTATACAAAAACCTTGTTAATGTTAGTCTCATTATTTTAGGCAATAAAAATGAATTAAAATTTCATTTATCTACTACATGATTTTTCTTTAGTCTCCTACGTTATCAACTCTGAGAGAGTGTATGTGCTTGTGTGCATGTGTGTGTGTGTGTGTGTGTGTGTGTGTGCGCTGAAAAGGAGAGGGAATGCTTTTTCCTTGCTTGACTTTATCATGTCATTTATTTCATGCTGTCTGTCAATTTATTAAATACATGTTCATAACCTCATTGTACTCTCTGTTTTTTGTGGGAAGGTTCAATGTTTTATACAACTCAGATTTTCCCATAAATATTTTCAACAAAAGTTGGACAATGAATTTTCATGAAGGAGTTTAAAATTTGTAGTCATTTAGTTAGTAGCCCTTATATATTACTATTATTATTTAATTATCAATATATTGCTGCTCAGAGACCTCACATTTAAAAAATAATACTATAGTGAGGTTAGATTATATTATTTAGCACTAACATCTATGTCTGTAAATTTGCTTGGAGTGTGAAATGTAGCTACAGAGAAAATAAAAGAATATATATTCCCAATTACTTGGGACAAATTTTCAAGTATTTCTTTTGGAAATGAATCACAATAAAACATGAAATTAGCAGGTACAGCAAAGAAATTTTCTAGTTTTTATTAATATTAGCAGGAATTATATATGTTTACCAAATGTTTAAATGTGAAAAAATACTATGAGACTTCTATAAATTGATTTAAAAAACACTGCTGTTAAAATTAAGAGTTTATATATATATAAATAGGAAACACAGTTGCAAGACAAAAACACAGAAAAAATTTTACTCTAAACTGAAAATTATAAACAGTAACTGATTTTTAACATTAAAATTAGCATTTTTTTCAATTATAATACCTCATGCAATTAGGAACATAGCATAATCAACAATTCTAACACTTCTGTTGGAAATACTTAGTAAGTACATTTTACAAAGCTACTTTTATAATGTTTGCCTCAATGATTCATTTTGTGAGGAAAAAAGGCCTTTTTCTAGAAACTCTTCAAGGTGGAGAAGCTCTTGTCCCACCATTTATCACTTCTTCCTAGGACATGAGACCCGGTCTACCTCACCCAGTTTCATCCAATAGCTCCTTTCCATACAGATATATTTACCGTCCTAACTGGTCTAAAAAATTTTAATACAAATGCATTACATTCCAGCGATGAGATTTCTCCTTCTATCCCTAATTTCACTAAACATATACTGTTAAATTAATTCAACATTAATTCAATTGTTAAATTAATTCAGACTTAAGAGGCTCCATGGCTTTGGTGGCCTTTGTGAGCAAACCAGACCCAAAGCCTGTAAATGCCTTAAGGTGAAGAAATAAAAATATGACACCCAATCACAAACAGCCAACTAGGCTTTAGGCTCCAGTCAATCAAATAATTTCCCTCATTCGCTTCTGCATGTTCTCTGCATTGTGTGTCTTCCCCTTGCTCTCCTGCGCAGCACTCCCAACTGTTTCTGGTTTGGCACTGTCTGATTAGAACTGATTTTTTCTCAAACAGACTCTGAACATTTTTAAAATGCCTCAGTTGATCCTTTAACAATAAATTTTTGCATGTTTTTCAATATTTGATGATTCCTTTGTGTATCTAAATATATGTATGCATATATATTTTTAAAATCACAGTTCAATTCTGTGCATCTCTTAGAGACAGTGAGTCTGCAGGCTGCAACCTATTTTTGGGTCAAATCAATCTTGTTCAGAGAACCACCCTCTCTTTCTACCTCCAAAAGGGAATAGAGACTGCTTAGGATGGGTGGTTCTAATTCTCTAACTTTTTCACAAAAGAAATCAGTCTCATTGCTTACAAATCAGAGCTAAAAAACGTCTTTCTGGCTTTCCCTGTGTGGTTACTATGTGAATGAGATGAGCCACCATGTGAGGTCAGCTGGGTCTGATGGGAAAATAACAGGCTTCAGTGTGACTTGGAACAAATCACTTCACCCCTTATAGGCTTTCATTCTTCACAAAATGAAGATGATAAGACTCACCTCATAAGATTGTTTTGAAATGAAATAAATTATGTAAAAGTTTTATTAATCTATGAAGTTGTGTGATAAAATTTATTATTTGGTGAGAGTAGGTGAAATGTTGCACAAAGGTAGACGGTTACTATAAGATCAAATTTAGTGCTAGAATTTAGCATTTTATCTGAAAATATGCTTTGCTTCAACCCGCTTTTCAGTTCTCTTTTTAATCTTTCATTATGTAACTATTCAGGGAAAGCAAAAGAATCTCCCCAACCTTACATGTTTCTAGCAGGGTGGACAGTTTACAGGAAACAATTATTTACCTAAATAGGATGCTATCTAATCTCAGATGCTAGTTAGGGTGATTCATACTATCAATTATCAAACAACCTAGAAGAGGAAGAAACAAGTAGTTGGGAACAATAGGGGAGTTATGGGAGATGGGGCACTTCAGCTAGGCCTTGGAATATTGGAATGTTAGGAAACAAGCATTCCAAGCCAGCAGTATGAAAATAGGAATAGAAACCTTATTTCAAAGGCAATTGTCTTCAGTACCAGGGAGAGAATGAAACGAGGTCGTTTCACAAAGCAGTTGTCAAGAAAATCAGCACTGCACTGGGGCAAACCTTGCCTGGAGAGGTTATCACTGAAACAGCCTTGAAACATAGGGCCACAACAGCCCCATTATCTAAGTCAGCTTGCTGATTCCCAGCTTTTCTCTCTTGTACCAACTATGCCCACAGCAATCTGTCTGGAAACACCTGGTGTCCTCTGCTTATAAATCTTAATAATGGATCTAAACATTTTTCTTCTAAAAGATTCCCAGTTTCACTGAGAACTATGGTAATTTTGAAAATATGCTTTCATGCTCCTCAAATTTCTATAGTTAAAAAATTTCCTATAAGATGCCATGGTTTTAATGTATAATTATTAACCATACATGTTCTTTATATTCAACATGTATCTATCATATTATATAAAACATAACATCATAAAATTAAATCCATTAGCAAAAATGATATATCAGTAGCATCATAACTATTACAGATATCTAATATGTGCTTGTGTAAGACTATATTATCACATTTATTTTTCCACTAACCTTTTGGGGAGATAGTATTACTATATTATTATTTCATTTTATAGTAGAAGAAATTATTATTTAAAAGGACCAAGTTACTTTCCTCAAGACTCAGAGCTCATAAATGGCAGAGATGGGATTGAGAAGTATGTATTCTTCAAACATAATCAAATGAATTTTAAGGAATGGATGAAACAAGTGAAACAAGTAGTTTCTTGGATTATAAACTATCAGAAGGACACTACAGTAACTCCAGCCTTAATGCCCAAAGTGCATACTGCTCTTGAGCCTATAAATGTAGGAAGCCAGGGGAAGGGAGAAATTCATATTATTAAGCACAGATCTCTCTCTATTGAATGATTTTATTTGTGTCTGTGTAGTTTCAGTCAGCTAAAAGTAGTACAATCTTCAAACTGCTCTATTTACTGGACACAAAAGTGTATTTTTTTATTTAAATAATAAACATTAAAAATTCATATGGTCATAAAATCACAAAAGAAAATCTAAGAAAGAAAACGGTAATTCAGGAAAGAAAGCATTTGCAATTTGTTTTCAGAATATTGATTATACTACCTCAGGGCAAGTGAATTAAAGATGTGCATCTGCTCTGATAAACAATTTTTATTAATAGAAACTGTTTCTTCCATCATTAAGTAAGTATTCTTTAAATACTTTATATTTTTTAGTCTGAAAATGTGCTAACTAGAACTGGGCTCCAAACTGCCAGACTGAATAGTGCTCAGTCTGGAACATACACATATGAGCATGATATTTTGTTAGTAATATATTAGAAAAAGGAATGACAAAGGCATAATCATAACATGGGTAGAAAAATCATATTTGCAATATAAGATGGAAAGAAAGGGTATTCCTTAAGAAGGCTGTGGTCAGCATACACATTGAGACTTTTCAATATATATGTGACCTTAGAAATCATAAGTAAGTCAGACAAGAAGAAAAGAAGTCTTTACAAGGTGTCCAAGTAATAAATAACTTACAAAGCAATTTAGAAACCTCAGCAATCACCACTTACAAGGCTGTGGTAGGGAACGGAGTCTATATTTGTAGAGAAGAGCAGAATCAATACAAGGAGTAAGCTGTCAGTTTTTTCTATAGTGTCGATATCTCAGACTGGCTGCTTTCACTGGTGGCCTGTAGAAACAATTTCCAAAAGTATACTATTGAGTGACATGTTACATAGATTAAATGATTTACTTTAAGCCCCTAACTGCATGTTGAAAGACCAGTAGCCCAAAAGGAGTACTAGAGAGCCTGAGGACAAAGCAACCTATAATAACAGTGTGATTTTGGAATGGTTTATACTTAAGAAAACCCTAGTGCCACAACAACTTCCATCCAGAACAGCATGTAAAAATTGAGAAGTGGCCACAACAGACTTACAATGTCTGGCTACCAGGAGGATCATTCACAATATATAGAGAGCTGATTAAATGGATTTATTGGCCAACTTCCTGTTTGTAAGTCATCAGTTAAAATAGTGATTTAATCTTAGAACAGCAATGAGCAGTCTTAACTCCCTTTTAGTTTATACTTACTTGAAAAAGATCTAGTAACAAATTTTGAAGTGTGTCGCAAACTCAAACCCCATTGCTGTGTGGCTTTGATCTTTTAAATGAGAAGATGGGTTCAACTTAGTCCTAGTCCCTTCCAGCACTTACATTTCTATTATAAACATCAATTGTTGTTCAGTGTTATAGCTGACTGATCATTTGTGGGCAATTGATGTATCTGGAAACACTGGCCCTTAAATTAAAGGCACTGAACTGTTTTGATAAAGAACTATGATGTGAAGGTAGAGTAAGTTTCTTGACTGGTGGAAAAGAGCACTGCGAGAAGTGAGGCAGGAACCTCCTTCAAAATCACATAAAACATACAAATACAGCAAATACAACTAACCCTCAAAAAGCAACCTGAAGACTGAAAAACTGACTGCCTACATCTGGGGAAAAGGAAAAGACCTCACAGAAAAGGGTAAAGTAGCAAAGCCATGTTCTGGAGGGACCCAAGCCTTTCCCCTACCCGTCCCACAGGCAGGAGGTAAAGAAATGGAGCAGGGAGGAAGTAGAAGAAGCCCAGGACTGCTGAACACCCAGCTGCAGAGATCTGCTCTGGGAGCAAAAACTCACATTTCATCATGCTCTGGAATTAGTGGGGTTGGAAAGCAAAGACAGGTAGAATACTCAGAGAGACTGAGATTCTAGGCACTTGTGGAGAACAGGTATGCACAACCAGCCCCACTGGGACAAAAGAAAGGCAGGAAGTTTGAAGGAATTCCCAACAGCCAGAGGGGCACTAAAGGATTACACAGAGCTTGCTGCTCAAGAGAAAGGTCAGGGAGATAAACCTTCCTGGCATGGTCAGCCCAGCAGGTCGAGAACTCTCAGGAGCTTCAGATGCTCCATACCCCTGGCCGGCAATGCAGCCCTGAAGCCCCACACTGCAGTATGCAGCCTGCTACTCCTTCCTCCCAGCAGGTGCTAATCCCACTCACCTGCTGCCCCCACCATCATGCAAGGCCAGCCAGAGGATGACCCTCTCCACGGTTGCTACAGCACCTTTCTGCTACTTTCTGCATGCACAGCCTGTTGGAACTGGCAGTGGAGGCAGGCATTATAGCTGGAAAGGCAAGAAACCCTCCCAGCTGAGCTCTTTCCATCCTGCACGTGCTGATTCTGCTTGTCTGTGACTCCTGCCATTGCTGCAAGCACAGGGCACCTCCAGAGAGTAGAGCTTCTGGGCACTAGAGGGCGCTGCCTACACAAAGTTATTACCACATAGGAAACACTAAAAAAGTGAACCAGCAAAGGAATTTGGTCCAAACAAAATTACAAGTAAAAACATCAGCAAGAGGGCATAATGAGAATGAAATCACCAATCTTCTGGATGAAGATTGCAAAATAAAAGTCATAAACATGCTCACAGAGCTACAGAAAAACACTCAATATCACGGGGAGGACTTCAAAAAAGAGATACAAACTTTGAAAAATACAGTATCTAAAATGAAACATACAATGAAGGGATATAAAAATAGATTGGATGAGGTAGAAGAGATGGTAAATGAAACAGGAATTAGAGAAGAGGAAAACAAAGAAGCTGAGGCACAGAGAGAAAAAAGGATCTCTAGGAATGAAAAGAATAATCAGAGAGTTGTGTGACAAATCCAAATGGAACAATATTTACGTTATAGGGATACCAGAAGAAGAAGAGAGAAAAAGGGATAGAAAGTCTCTTTGAGGAAATAATTTCTGAAAACTTTCCCAATCTAGGGAAGGAAATAGTCTCTCAGGTCATGGAAGAGGACAGATCTCCCAACACACGGTACCCAAGGAAGACAATACCACGACATAGAATAATAAAAATGGCAAAGATCAAAGACAAGGAGAGAGTATTAAAAGGAGCCAGACAGAGTAAAAAGATCATTTATAAAACACACTTCTCAGCAGAAACATTACAAGCCAGAAGGGGATAGCATGATAGAGTTAATGAAATGAAACAGACCGACCTCCAACCAAGAATACTCTACCTGACAAGATTATCATTTAAATTTGAAGTAGGGGTAAAACAATTTGTAGATAAGCAAAAGCTGAGGGAATTCACCAACACCAAAAAAGCTCTACAAGAAACTTGAAGGGGACTGCTCTGGATGGAAATGCTCCGAGGGCTAAATAGCTGTCACCAGAGAAAAATAAACCCACAGTAAAGGTAGAACACCAATTAATTACTGAGAAAATACAAAATTAAATCAACTACCCAAAAAGTTAGCCAAGGAATACCCAAAGAGTACAAAATATGACATCTAATATATAAAGAGTAGAGGAGGAAGAAGGGGAGGAAAAAAAAGAACCTTTAGCTAGTGTTTGAAAGAGAACAAAAAGTGATTTAAGATAGACTGTTAGACAATATGGAAGCTATCCTTGAACCTTTGATAACCACAAATCTAAAGCCTGCAATTGGCAATAAGTACATATCTATCAAAAATCACCTTAAATGTAAATGGACTGAATGCACCAATCAAAAGACATAGAGTTGCAGAATGTATAAAAATACAAGCACCGTCTATATGCTGCCTACAAGAGACTCACTTCAAACCCAAAGACACAAACTAAAAAAGAAGGGATGGGAAAAGATATTTCACTCAAATAAAAGAGAGAAAAAAGCAGGAGTAGCAGTACTTACATGAGACAAAATAGATTTCAAAACAAAGAAAGTAACAAAAGACAAAGAAAAACATTACATAATGATAAGGGCATCAGTCCAACAAGAGGATATAACCATTATATACATCTATGCACTCAATATAGTAGCACTTAAATATGTGCTAACAGATACTAACAGAATTAAAGGAGGAAATAGAATGCAAGGCATTCATTTTAGGAGACTTCAGCACAACACTCACTCTAAAAGAAAGACCAAACAGGCAGAAAATAAGTAAGGAGACAGAGACACTGAACAACACATTAGAACAGATGGACCTAACAGACATCTACAGAACACTCCACTCAAGAACAACAGGATACACTTTCTTCTCAAGTGTACATGGAAAGTTTTCCAGAATATATTACATACTAGGCCACAAAATGAGCCTCAATAAATTCAAAAAGATTGAAATTGTGCCAACCAGTCTCTCAGACCACAAAGGTATGAATCTAGAATAAATTATGAAAAGAATATAAAAAAGGCCACAAACACATGGAGGCTTAACCACATGCTCCTAAATGATCAATGAATCAATGACCAAATTAACACAGAGATGAAGCAATATATGGAGACAAATGATAACAACAACTCAGCACCCCAAAACCTGTGGGATGCAGCAAAGTTCTAAGAGGAAAGTATATTGCAATACAGGCTTACCTCAGAAAAGAACAATCACAAATGTACAGTCTAAACTCATAATTAATGAAACTAGAAAGAGGAAAATTAAATGAGACCCAAAGTCAGTAGAAGGAGAGACATAATAAAGATCAGAGGAGAAATAAATAAATTTGAGAAGAATAAAACAATAGAAAGATTCATAGACACCAGGAGCTGATTCTTCGAGAAAATAAACAAAATAGATAAACTCCTAGCCAGACTTATTAAGAAAAAAAAAGAGTGTACACACATAAACAGAAGAAGAAGAAAAAGTCACTACAGACACCACAGAAATACAAAGAATTATTAGATAATACTATGAAAAATTATATGTCAACAAATTGGACAACCTAGAAGAAATGGACAACTTTCTAGAAAAATACAACCCTCCAAGACTGACCTAGAAAGAAACAGAAAATCTGAACAAACCAGTTATGAGCAATGAAATCCAATTGGTAATCAAAAAACTACCAAAGAACAAAATTCCTGGTCCAGATGGCTTCATGGGTGAATTTCACCAAACATTTAAAAAGCTAATACCCATCCTACTTAAAGTTTTCCGAAAAGTGCAAGAGGAGGGAATACTTCCAAACTCATTCTATCAGCCCAGCATCACTCTAATGCCAAACAAGGCAGACACCAGAAAGAAAGAAAATTATAGACCAATATCCCTGATGAACATAGAAACAAAATCCTCAACCAAATATCAGCAAACTGAATTGAAAAATACATCTAAAAGATCATCCATCAAAACCAAGTGGGATTTATTCCAAGGATGCAAGGATGGTACAATATTTAAAAATCCATCAACATCATACACATCAACAAAAAGGACAAAAATCACATGATCATCAACAGATGCTGAAAAAGCATTTGGCAATATTCAACATCTACTCACGATAAAAACTAAAAAAAAATGGATATAGAAGGTAAGTACCTCAACATAATAAAGGCCATATGTGACAAACCCACACCCAACATCATACTTAACAGTGAAAAGCTGAAAGCTTTTCCTCTGAGCCTAGGAACAAGACAAGGATGCCTACTCTCACCAGTTTTATTCAACATAGTACTGGAGTTCCTAGCCATGGCAAACAGACAACACAAAGAAATAAACGCACCCATATTGGTAAGGAAGAAGTTAAACTGTCACTCTTTGTAGATGACATGATATTGTACATAAAAAACCCTAAAGAATCCACCCCAAAACTACCAGAACTAATAAGTGAATTCAGCAAAGGTGCAGGATACAAAATTAATACACAGAAACCTGTTGC